GAAACACTACTCCCCAGGCTGGTTGAGTCCTAAAGACAGAGCTGCTAGATATGCCTGCAACTGGTGGTCAGAGAAAAATGTACCTTTTACTGAAATAAAGATAATGCCACTGTCAAGCCATTAGTCATAGAGATCTACAGCACAGAAAAAGGCCCTTTGGTCAATCATGTCCGCACCGGTCAAAAACAATTACCTAACTATTCTAATCCAGTTCTGCAGCACTTGGCCAATTCCATTGTATGCCTTGACCTCATATTAGAACATAGAACATAACATTACAGCGCAGTACAGGCCCTTTGGCCCTCGATGTTGCGCCGACCTGTGAAACCAATCTGAAGCCCATCTAACCTAAACTGTTCCATTATCATCCATATGTTTATCCAATGACCATTTAAATGCCCTTAAAGTGGGTGAGTCTACTATTTTTGCAGGCAGGGCATTCCACGCCCTTACTACTCTCTGAGTAAAGAACCTACCTCTGACATCTGTCCTATATCTATCACCCCTCAACTTAAAGCTATGTCCCCTCGTGCTAGCCATCACCATCCGAGGAAAAAGGCTCCCACTGTCCACCCTATCTAATCCTCTGATGATCTTGTATGTTTCTATCAAGTCACCTCTTAACCTTCTTCTCTCTAACGAAGACAGCCTCAAAACCCTCAGCCTTTCCTCATAAGACCTTCCCTTCATACCAGGCAACATCCTGGTAAATCTCCTCTGCACCCTTTCCAATGCTTCCACATCCTTCCTATAATGCGGTGACCAGAACTGTATGCAATACTCCAAGTGCGGCCGCACCAGAGTTTTGTACAGCTGCAACATGACCTCATGGCTCCGAAACTCAATCCCTCTACCAATAAAACCTAACATAATGTACGCCTTCTTAACAACGCTATCAACCTGGGTGGCAACTATCAGTGATCTATGCACATGGACACCGAGATCTTTCTGCTCATCCACACTACCAAGAATCTTACCATGAGCCCAGTACTCTGTATTCCTGTTACTCCTTCCAAAGTGAATCACCTCACACTTTTCCGCATTAAACTCCATTTGCCACCTCTCAGCCCAGCTCTGCAGCTTATCTATGTCCCTCTGTAACCTGCAACATCCTTCTGCACTATCCACAACTCCACCGACTTTGGTGTCATCCGCAAATTTACTAACCCATCCTTCTACGCCCTCATCCAGGTCATTTATAAAAATGACAAACAGCAGTGGCCCCAAAACAGATCCTTGAGGTACACCACTAGTAACTGAACTCCAGGATGAACCTTTCCCATCAACCACCACCCTCTGTCTTCTTACAGCTAGCCAATTTCTGATCCAAACCGCTAAATCACCCTCAATCCCATGCCTCCATATTTTCTGCAATAGCCTACCATGGGGAACCTTATCAAACGCTTTACTGAAATCCAAATACACCATATCAACCGCTTTACCCTCATCCACCTGTTTGGTCACCTTCTCAAAGAACTCAATAAGGTTTGTGAGGCACGACCTACCCTTCACAAAACCGTGTTGACTATCCCTAATCAAATTATTCCTTTCTAGATGATTATAAATCCTATCTCTTATAATCCTTTCCAACACTTTACCCACAACACCATATTCACCAGTCTGCCTGCCTAGACATATGGTCATTGATAGTATTGGTAAGAGTGACCAACACAGTCTCGTGGAGACAAAGTGTCATCTTCACATTCAGTTTACCTTCCATTGCATTGTGTGATACTATGACCGAGCTACATGTGATAGACTTTAAATAGATATAGCAACTCACGACTGGGCATCCACGAGGTGCTGTGACCTATTAGCAGCAGGATTGTACCCAAATACAATCTGCAACCTCATGGACTGGCATATCCCTGACTCACCCCACCATTACCATCAAGCCAGGGGATAAACCAAGGTTCAGTGAAGAGTTCAGGAGGGCATGTCTGGTGTAGCACCTCAAAATGAAGCTAAAACACAGGACTAATTGCATGCCAAACAGCATAAGCAGCAAGTGTTGAAAAGGTTAAATGATTCCACAACTAACTGATCAGATTTAAGCTCTGCGGTCCTGCCAGATACTGTTATGAACGGTGTTGGACAAGTAAACAATTCACTGGAGGAGGAGGCACCACAAATCTCCCCATTCTCAGTGATAGGGGAGTCCAGGATATCAGTGCAAAAGATAAGGCTGTAGAATTTGCAAAAATCCTTGGCTCAAAATGGGTGAATGGAATATCCATCTCAGCCGTAGGTCCCACCCTACGTGAAATCAAGAAATGGCTGAAGGCACTCGATGTTGCAAAGGCTACGGGTCCTGACAACCTTCCAACAATAGTACTGAAGACATGTGCTCCAGAATGTGCCACACCGCAAGCCATGCTATTCTAGCACAGCTGCAACACTGGCATCTACCCAATGATATGGAAAATTGCCTAGGTACATCCTGAATTCAAAAAGCAGAATGAATCCAACTCAGCCAAATACTGACCCCATCAATCTACCCTTGATTATCAGTAAAGGGTTGGAAAGGGTGACTGACAGTGCTATCAAGCAGCAGTTGTTTACCAATGACCAGCTCACTGTCAGTCAGTTTGAGTTCCTCCAGAACCACTCAACTCCTGAACTTGTTACAATCTGAATTCAAATATGGATGAAAGAGCTGAATTTCAGAGATGAGGTGAGAATAACTGCCCTTGACATCAAGGCCACACTTGACTGATTGTTACATTAAGGAGCCTTAGCAAAACTAGAGTCAAGCAGAATCAGGGGAAAACTCTCTGCTGGTTGGAGTCATACCTGGCAAAAGGGAAGATGGTTGTGGTTATTGAAGCTCATTTATCTCAGCTTCAGGACATCTTTGCAGGAGTTCCTCAGGACATCTAACCATCACCTCTTTAGGTTCAATAGTGTTACTTGCACTGAATCCCTTAGTATTAATAGTGTGGGGACAACATTCCCTCTAAGCTGCCTGGCAGCAAGCCACTGGGAGATTCTGTGCTCGCCAATTGGCATGATCAGTTGACTTTTGACTGTGGCACCTGTTGCAGCACATCAAAGGTTCACACTGCGATAAAATAATTAGGCACAATGTTGCCTGGGGGAAGTTACCATTAACCAGGAACTGAATTATAGTCATATAAATATTGCTGTTTCAAAGCAGGTCAGAGTCTAGATATCCTGCTGTGAGTAACTGACCCCTTGACTCCCCAAAGCCCGTCTACCACATACAAGGCACATAGTCAGAAGTGTGTTGGAATACACTTGCCAGCAGGAGTGCAATTCCAAAAACTCTCAAGAGCTTGACTCCTTCAGGGTCAAATCAGCCCACTTGATTAGTATCACATCTACAAACTGACACTCTGTAGCAGCAGTGTGCACCATCTACAAGATGCACTGCAGAAATTCACCAAGCCTCCCTTAAACTGCACATTCCAAACCCATGACCACTTTCACGTAAAAGGACAAGGGCAGCAGATACCTACCATCTAAAATATTCCCTCCAAACCACTCACCATCCTGACTTGAAAATATATCGCTGTTCCTTCCTAGGTCAAAATCCTGGAAATCATCCCTATATTGGCATTTTGGAAGTACCGACGCCAACTAGACTGCTACTGTTCAAGAAGGTAGCTCACCATCATCTTCTCAAGGACAACTTGGGATGGACAATGAATGTGGGCCCAGCCAGCAATGCCCACATCCCGTGAATGAATTAAGAAAAGCAAATGATTTTCACCTCTGCCTTCTATCTTCACTATAGAGGATTAAAAAAAATCCCAGTACTTCAAGATGCAGGAAAAGTCAAACATTTGCAGTTGAAATTAAAATTAAGTAAGCTATATTGAGCAAACTGATGGGGCAGCAGGTTAATAAGTCTACAGGTCCTGATGGACTTCATCCTAGTGTATCTTAAGTGGCTAATGAATTAGTAGATGCGTCGGTGTTAATTTTCTCAGATTCACTTGATTCTGAAAAAGTTTTATCAGACTGGAAATTAGCAAATATATCTCCTCTATTTAAGAAGGGAGAGAGACAGAAAATAAGAAACCACCAGTTATGTTGATGCTTGTCATGGATAGACAAGAAAAGTGATTATTAAGGAGACTATAACTGAGCACTTAGAAACACTCAAGGTAATAAGAAAGAGTCTGCATGGTTTTGTGAAAGGGAAGTCATGTTTAACCTATTTGTTGGAATTCTTTGAAGGAGTAACATTTGCTGTAAATAACAGTCAGTGTGTTGATGTATTGTACTAGGATTTCCAGAAGGTATGTGCCACATAAAAGGCCATTGCACAAAGTAAGACCTCGTGGCGTAGAGGGAAATGTACTAACATGGATAGAAGATTGGTTGGCTGATAGAAAACAGATAGAATGCATAAATGGATCTTTTTCTGGTTGGCAGGATGTGATGAATATATTCCTGTAGGGGTCTATGCTGGTGTATCAATGTCTTACAATTTATATTAATTACTTACTTGAGGAGAAAAAAGACATGAAAGCCAAATTTTCAGATGACAAAAAAAAGGAAAGTACGCGATGAAGAGGACATAAGGAGATTGTAGATGGATGTAGATTGGTTGAGTAAGTGGGCAAATATCTGACAAATGGAGTATAATGTGGGTAAAGGTGAAATTTGTCTTTTAGCGGGAAGAATAAAAAAGCAGTGTATTATCTAAACAGTGAAAAACTTCAGAATTCCAAGTTAAGGAGGGATCCAGGAATTCTCGTGCATGAATCCCAAAACAGGTACAGCATACAGTCAAAAAAGCTAATGTAATGCTATCTTTTTTATGAGAGGAATTTAAGATAAAAGTAAGGATTTATGCTTCATCTTGAAATATGTGTGCAGTTTTGGTATTCTTGATTAACAGAGATGTTATTATTAGATTGATACCTGCAATGAATGAGCTGTTTTATGAAGAAAAGTTGGACTCACTGGAGTTTACAAGAGTGAGGGGTGACTTGATTGAAGTATATAATGTTCTAAATGGTCTTGACAAGATGCATGTGGAAATTATGTTTCTTGTGGGTGAGTACATAATTAGGGAATACTGTTCTAAAAATGAAGGGGTCACCCTTTTTGGACAGAATTGAGAAAATAAATTCTCTTGGAGGGTTGTGAAACTTTGAAACTCCTTGCCTCAGAAGGTGATGGATGTGGGGTCATTGAATATTTCTAAGGCAGAGGTAGGTAGATTCTTGTTAAGCAGGGAAATCAAAGGTTATTAGGAGTAGGGGGGAATGTGCAATTTGAAATAAAAACAGATTAACCATGATTTGACTGTAAGCAGAGCTGACTTGAGAGACTGAATGCTCTTAATTTGTATCCCAGCACTAATAGAACCAAGGACCTGATTGACTGTGGAGAACCCCAGACTAGAATTGGATACACCCTTGATTGAGTGTGGCAGTACCCACTGACTGACCATAGTCCCTCCTGACTCTGCTAACATCTGCTCCTGTTTGATTTCCAGACATAGCCATGTGGTTAAAAGACCTGCAGTGCATTAATTGTATTGGCTACTACCACTTATTGTAGATGTAAGGCATTGATGTAGCATTGTACTATCCAATGACATATCCACTACTTAACTGTTCAGTGCTCCCCATCATGACAAGCCTCCTGTATCTCCATTTGTGCAATGGAAACTACTTGGGCCTACTACAATTGGAAACTACTGGCAGAATTGTGCATGTCATTGTGTCCCTGAGTTCCGAAGAGGAGTGTTGAAGGGTCGAAATGGTATGAGAATTGGACCGAAAGCAGGCACGATGATGTAGTAAGGCTGGTATTTTGCTGATGCTGACATACACGGATGAAGGGTGGAGGAGGATGGTGTATGTGGCGACATTGTGGTGAAGATGGAGTGGGATGAAAACTGGGAACGTAATGGGTAATCTGCAGCTGCCAGGCACCCACTTTGATTTGCAAGCTAGGAGTTTGTGAGGCCAAATAATGATATACAAATATATGGAAATAAGGCCACTCATTTATGAGATTCTGAAGTTGCTGTTCAAAGCTTAAGGGGAAAATCAAAATATTATTCTTCATGGCAAGATTTCATTCTCACTTTATTCACTCAACTGGCACTCCAAGATAATCATATTACTCGACATCCTTACAGTCAGTGGTCAAATATGTATAGACATTACCAAAATGCCAAATGGATTTTATAAATAAGTTCATCTCATCACCTTAATTGCAGAAGGAAGTAATAGAAGCCTAAGAATGAGGAAATCTAGTCCATGGATGTTTATACCCATTGTAACTAGTATTGGTGCAGCAGTTGGACTCTGGATTGTGTAAGTTCACCTTGTTATTTTTTTCAATTTATTATTATCAGCAGCATTTTTCTTAACAAGGTAATGATTACAGTTGAAGTGGACTGTTGACTTTTCTGACCTTCGCGTTTGTTTTAGGAAGTAGAAGATGTTATTGACTTTCTGAATGTTTGCCTTGAGATTTGACTGTACAACAAACATTCGCCCTTTAAGTAGCACTTAAACCTTCAACATGGTGATCAGAAAGTGTATATTCAAAACAAGCTCCAAGTACTCTGATGTAGGAAAAGAATTTGACATCAAAGACTCATGCCTCAACCTGAGTTAGTCTCTCTGCATTTTCAAATAAAGAACTTAGCGCCTGTTCGAAATCACTTGCAAGACTGACACCCTGAGGCAGCCATCACTCATACTGGCTGTACTTGGAGAAACCAAATCTGTTTGAGGCCTAAGAGATTCTTAAAGAGACAGTAGCAAGTTGTAACCAAAAACCAATATACTTAACTGAATGTGAGTTTGGACTGCTCCTGACCTCCCCTTAAAAATACGCAGATTGTTGCTGGCCATATACAACTTCCCCACTCTGATCACTCTCCACCCATTCTCTTCATTTAAGGTCAAGATGAACAAATGTCCCAGGAGGGCTCTGTGTAAACTAACTGGAATTAAAATCCAGTACCCAGTAAATCCAACTGATAAGTTACTAATTTTTAATTTATAATATTTTCAATTGCCTTATACAAATTTTAATTCCAAACAAGTACTTTTGAGGTTATACATTAAATCTGATAAGTTTTTTTTTAACTAACATAATTAATGAATTATATATTAACATCTGACACATGTTTCTGTGAAATTTTCCATTTGCTATTGCTGTCCTACTTTAAACTGTGAGTTTTGATTCCATATCTTTCGTAACATTCCTATTTTTTCAGAGTGTAGGGCACTTATTTGTTGAACTGTTATTAAGGCCAATCCCTCCTACTCATTGGAAAAGATGAAAGGAAAGAGGTCATAAAAACAGCTTATATTTAAATGGCATCTTTTAATGCTCACAAAGTGTGATCCAAAATGCAAATTATTGAAGCTGGTATTCTATGCAAATAATTTGATGGAATCCTGGATTCAGGTACTGTTCAAGTTGACTTGCTGATGCAGCTACTTAATTCTCTGCCTTTCCTGTGAGGATGCAATAGCATTCTCTGGCAAATCCGGACATTCATCACAGCACCTCCAAAAACAATCCAACAGTATATTTGCAATAGCAGAAATTATTGAAGACAATCTTACCACAAGTTGGTTGACTAGCCTTTTAAAGTGTTACTGGTGCAGTGTCCATGTTTGCCGCTTGGCATTTGTTCTTTGTAGAATGATGTGCAACTTTGTTCCCTGGACCTACGTGTTCCAAGTTATGTAGCTCGTACTTTATGTACCTTAACCAGTAGTGTTCTATGATGTCAGAATAGTAGCCCATCAATTCCTTCCAAAGTACACAAGGCATTCTTATCCAGCAAACATTCTCAAGGCTATACCAGAAGCAGCTAGCAACTCAGCATGCGCACCTCCAGGAGGGTGAAAGATCACATAGCACTACCCATATCTTTGAACCATGCGGTCTTAGCCTATGAGAAATTGAATTCTACAGTACTATCCCATGGAATGTGATTCTTGCATTTACATTTGACTAAGTAAACAATTTGATCAGAAAATGTTTAGACACATTTAAGACTTTCTTCATCAAAATGACACATATTTTCAGGTCCATGTCTCATCCATTTATATATTTCACATTTTGACCACTGCCTCAGTACGTTTTTCCAGTAAAAATAAATATGGGTCAATCTAAAAGTGATTTAATCTGGCTGGAATTGGGCAGATGTGTCCTAATCACATGCCTACAGTTTGTTTCTACTTTAAGAGGTCACACACTTAACATTTGCGTACCACTGAATTATTCCTTTCTGAAGGTTAACCAATAAAATGCGTGTATAACAGGACTTTGGAATTTTTTTAATGTAGATTGGGCTGAATACACCCATCACTTCAGGCAGTTAGTTGCTTTGTTTTCTAAACAGCTTCAGGTGAATTCATTGTAAAACTCATTTAGCCATACGCTTTGGAAATGTTTATTCCATCAGACCCACTAAATGAGATTTAATTGACTTTAAATGTGAAATGGTAGCATGCAATATATCCAATCTTTGATGAAGGCTTGCTATGTTCATCTGACAGTTTAAGATCTTAAACTCCACATAGAGCTTTTGAGCTTCAGGATGGCCTCATAATTAAGTCATCATGTTATCCATCTGTGATCTTTTAAATCATGATCATATTTTGAGGTAAAGCATGCACAAACAAGGAAAATGTTGGCTTATCCGTTTTCAATAACATAGTATAATCCATAGTATTCTAAATTTGAATAACAACAATACGTTATCCACAATGCTTTTGATTTATCTTTTAATATAGTAAATGTTACAAGGCACTTTACAGAGAGTAACAAAATAGAAGGTTCAAACAGCAAAGCATGGTGCAAGGGGTGACAAAAAAGTTTGAGTGGGTTTAGGAATGCTTTTACAGGCAGTGCGAGGAGTGAGTAAGCTAAGGTGTTTAACGAAAGGATTACAGATAATCAGATCAAGATGGCTGAAAACATTGTCACTAATTGTGGAGTTAGGGACAGAGGAAGTACTGCATATAACTAGGGTGAGAAGATTGGTATGTGCAACAAGTACTTACAAGGCTGGAGGAGTAGTAGGATAGAGTGGGGATGAGGATAACAATTTCAGTCTGTGTTAAACACATCTTATGTAAATGAGAAGGAGTGTGATGGGTAGAAGGATCATAAGTCGGGTTGTCAGTGGCTGATTAGTTTTTGAATAAGTTAGAGTTTTTGCGTGGTGAAAACTGTAAGAAAGCTTTTCAACCGATCAAGTCAATACTGTAGGGACAGTGGCAGGTGGCATTGCAGGTAGACATTTATAATTAGTTATAATTAGTGTGGGGCAAGCAGGTACCCTGTCTGTGTTTAGGTAGGTAGAAGTGCTACTCATCTGCATAGCAAAGGAAAGGTAATGAATGAGGATGACATGGTCAATGAGCTGGATTGCAATGGAGAGTTTAAAGAGAAGGACTGAAAGCTTAAAAACTAAACTGCGAGCTATTCAGGTACTCAGAAGAACTAGGTTGGTTTTCCCAGAGCCAGTCATTCCACGTATTGCAGTGCTATTGAGTGATTGGATTAAGGGGAATCTGGCAAAGTCACCCTATCAGGTCTGTGGTTACCCAAGTTAAGGAGATTCTGCTGAAGTGTACTTTGTTGCTTTGTTGCTTATATTCATACAATTGTATCTGTGGGACTGAGATGGAGTAAAGCAGTTATCAGAGTCTACTGAAGATCAGATCCTGCATGATGAAAAGTGGTTGAACGTTACTAGAGGAAGATAAAGTTGTGAGAGTTATTGGGATTACACATGGTGCTACAAATGTGCTAAGAGTGCTAAAAGAGCTATCTTTGCGATATCAGCTATTTAAATTATAGTTTATAGTTTCTATTGATTACAGCTTGTGTGTTTAATGTATGTGGTTCTGATTTGTTTGTTACAGTAAAAGTTATAAAAAGTGACATCTTGTCCATCAATTTCTTCAGTTGAAATCATTTAGGAGATTTAGTTCTTTCATGTTCTTGGTCTCCATGAGGATTGTGACAGTGATTACCAAGGGAAGTTTTGCATTGATGGCTTCAGAGACTGCTCAAACTTAGTTCATATAGAACCCTTGTAGTTGTTGGGAAGGAACTTTTCACCCTGTTAATTTGAGCACACTTTAAACTTAAGTCCCAAAATCAAAAGACTTGTTTTTAACACTTTGTGTCACCAGTTCCTAAAACAATAAGTTATCTATTGGGTAATTATCTGCCTTGAAATGTTATATATGGACATTTTTTGGATATTTTGAAATGTTATATAAGGGGCACTGTTTGGATATTTTCAAAATAATTGTTTCACTTTTAACAGGTACGTGATTGCAGTTCAGCAGAAAATAATTTGTAGGCTTGTCTTACAAGATGGGTGAGAACCTTTTAGATTTCATAGCAGTTTACTGTTACTTATGTCCAACCACAGACTTAATAAATAAGACAGATGGTCTATTGAAGACCAAGTATAGAACAGGTACACACATCAGAGAGGCGTGCCTGTGTTCTCATGTATAATTTTAATGTTATTATTAAGTTATAAGTTGTTCAATAGTACATCTTCACAGTCATTAAAACTCCACTAAAGGTGTAATTAAGTGAACTCTCACATTGTGTCTTGTAGTCTTAACTCCGCCCCCTTGATCATGACCCCACCCCTGAGCACCAAACCATCATCTCGCAAACCATCCACAA